TGTCTCCGTAAAGGAATCTGCCATTCACTTATTGTTGAAGCCACACTTCTATGAACATTTTAATTTATTTCTAATGTTGTTTGAAAGGCAGCAAGGATAGACAAAATCAAGCCCCCTATCTTCCACCTCCAACTCTCATCGAAGTCATCTTGTAGTCAAAATCACCCCTTAAAAATCAAATCCCGCAGTGGGCCTAGGGGTGCCCTACATCCCATATTGGAGTGCCTGGGTTCAGGTCCTCCTCTGTTTCCCGTGCCAGCTTCCCGGCTGGTATGCACCATGGGAGGCAGCAGCTCCAGTACTGGAGTCCCTGTCACCCATGTGGGAGACCCAGATGGAGCTCCTGGCTCCTGGCTCCTGACTTTGGCCTGGCTTAGCAGGACTATTACAGGAACTTGAAGGGTGAATCAGCAGATGGGCTCTGTCTCTCTGTTGTGCCCTCTTTGACTTTCCAAATCTCTTGGCCTTTAAAATAAAAGGTTTAAAAAAAAAAATCCCAGGGGCCGTTGCTGTGGTGTAGTGGGTAAAGCCGCCACCTGAAGTGCCAGCATCCCAAATGAGTGCCAGTTCGAGTCCTGGTTGCTCTACTTCCCATCCAGCTCTCTGCCATGGCCTGGGAGGGCAGTGGAGGATGGCCCAAATCCTTGGGCCCCTGCACCCATGTGGGAGACGCAGAGGAAGATCCTGGCTCCTGGCTTTGCATCGGTGCAGCTCCGGCCATTTTTGCCATTTGGGGAGTGAACCAGCAGGTGGAAGACTCTCTCTCTCTCTCTCTCTCTCTCTCTCTTTCTGCCTTGCCTCTTGCCTCTCTGCAACTCTGCCTTTCAAATAAATAAGTAAATCTTTTTTAAAAAAAATTGCTAATCATTATTTTGCTTTTTTTTTTTTTTTTTTTTGACAGGCAGAGTGGACAGTGAGAGAGAGAGAGAGAGAGAGAGAGAGAGAGAGAGAAAGGTCTTCCTTTTGCTGTTGGTTCACTCTCCAATGGCCGCCGTGGCCTTTGTGCCGCAGCCGGCACATCGCGCTGATCCGAAGCCAGGAGCCAGGTGCTTCTCCTGGTCTCCCATGCGGGTGCAGGGCCCAAGCACTTGGGCCATCCTCCACTGCCCTCCCAGACCACAGCAGAGAGCTGGCCTGGAAGAGGGGCAACCGGGACAGAATCTGGCGCCCCGACCGGGACTAGAACCTGGTATGCCAGTGCCGCAGGTGGAGGATTAGCCTATTGAGCCGTGGCGCCGGCCTTTGCTTCTTTTTTAAAAAAGATTTATTTATTTATTTGAAAGACAGAGTTACAGAGAAAGAGAGGTAGGGACAGAGAGAAAGGTCTTCCATCTGTTGGTTCACTCCCCAAGGGTTGCAACAGCTGGAGCTGGGCCAATCCGAAGCCAGGAGCCTGGAGTTTCTTCCAGGTCTCCCATTGGGTGCAGGAACCTAAGGACTTGAGCGATCCTCCACTGCTTTCCCAGGCCATGACAGAGAGCTAGATCGGAAGTGGAGCAGCTGGGACTCAAACCAGTGCTCATATGGATGCCAGCGCCTCAGGACAGGGCTTTAACCCGCTACACCACAGCGCCCGCCCCAGGACCATGTGTTTTGTTGTCATTCTGCTGAACACCAACCACCATGCCTGGTGCACAGTTGTTACTCCCTACAAAAACTTGTTGAATAGGTGTATGCATGAATTTAAAACATCCTGTTGTCACCAAGCATTTAACACCCATCTATTTACAATGTCTATCTAAATTAACTTGAAAGACTTTCATGGCATGCATATAAGAAGGACCATTTTGGGCCAGCACTATGGCTTAGCAGATAAAGCTAAGTGCCGGTTCTAGTCCCGGTGTTCCTCCTCTGATCTGGTCTCTGCTATGCCCTGGGAAAGCACTAGAAGATGGCCCGAAGGCCTTGGATCCCTGCACCCGCATGGGAGACTAGGAAGAAGTTCCTGGCTTCAAATTGGCCTAGCTCTTGCCATTGCAACCATTTGGGGAGTGAACCAGTGGATTGAAGACCTCCCTCTCTGTCTTTGCCTCTGCCTCTCTGCCTTTCAAGCAAATAAATAAATCTTTAAAAAAGAAGAAGAAGAAGGACCCTTTTATCAGCATTAGGTATGATGTCTAGGGGCTATAAGCTTTTCAGGGATGTAAAACATGTTTCAGACCTGAAAATAAAATGTACTGATTCCAAAAAATGAAGAAAAAATTTTAACAAAAGAAAGAAAAAACAAGGAAAGTAAAGTACTGAATCCAGAAAACAAAAAGTACAAATAGGAATTAGTAAATATTTTAAGATATCTAAAACATCATTTTTCATAATGAGTCAACTGCAATTTAACTCTTCTATACATAAAAAATATACTTACTGTGGGATGTGCTTGTATTTAATGTAGTTGATAGGATGTCAACTTGTTCAGTCTACATCCCTGTGAACTGTTTTGTATTTGTCTAAGACTGTTCTTGCTTCTGTGACCTAGAATAAGCAACCCATCTCTTTGGAAGTGTCCTCTTATAGACAGCCATGTTAAATATCCCTGGTTCTCCAAAATCTTTTGAAATTTTCCCTCTCTGCAGGTGATTCTTTGTTTATCCACTACAGTATACACACCACAAAGCAGCATGTCCCAAGTGCGTAGCCACTGACCAGGTAAGGCATAAGCTACCTTAACTGGTCAGGTCAACAATATTTCTCAACAGTCACATCTCCCAAGTGGTTGACATGGTAACATTTGTTAACTGGTCAGGAACCATGACCATTATGTGGGAGACATAGAAAAATACAAAGCAGGCCTCTGACATATTGAAACTAAGTAGAAGAATTGATTAGTTGATCTGCATGCACTCCCTATATAAGCTCCCAATGCCCAGATCTGGATGGACCCCTCCGGGCAAGCAAGAGTCTCTGTTTCTCAACAAAATCTATTTCACTTGCTTTGCTCACTCCCATTTATTATCCACATTGTAATTCTTCATTGTTGTGAGGCAAAGAACTGACTGTGAATTCCTGTAACAGTCTCTCCCCACATTGCCATCATGATTTAAATCTAGGGTTCCACCCCAGCGACCTCATCCAATCCAGTCACTTGCCAGGGCCCCACCTCAGTCACCTTGAATGGATCCAGCCTCACCCTAATCCATCAGCCATCGACATCAAACTCTGAGTTCAGCATCTGCATGGGTTTGGGAGCCAATTCTAGTCAAACCGTAACAATAACCCAATAATACTCAGGTATTTTATTACTCAGTTATTTTACCTTCAGCTACATTCAGCCAACCAGCTGTCTGCTCTATGCTTTTACCCGCTTTATGTAATTTTTTTGTTCCGTTGGAGTGGCATCGTTGTATCGAATTGTAAGATGAAGGAAGCTCAGTGAATTCTCCAAGTCCCCAGCGAATCAGAGGCTTCCAGGTTTTCTCCCCTGTGCAGAGCTGTCTCCAGTAAGAGGTGGTCCTTGCCCCTGTATCAGGATATATTTCCTTCTACTTTACCGAAAGATGCCTGTGGGGCCAGCGCTGTGGCACAGTGGGTTAACGCCCTGGCCTGAAGCGCCAGCATCCCATATGGATGCCAATTTGAGCCCAGCTGCTCCACTTCCTATCCAGCTCTCTGCTATGGCCTGGGAAAGCAGTAGAAGATAGCCCAAGCCCTTGGGCCCCCTGCACCTGCATGGGAGACCTGGAAGAAGCTCCTGGCTCCTGGCTTCAGATCGGTGCAGCTCTGGCCGTTGCGACCAATTGGGGAGTGAACCAACGGATGGAAGACCTCTCTCTCTCTCTCTGCCTCTTATCTCTCTGTGTAACTCTGGCTTTCAAATACAATAAATAAATCTTAAAAAAAAAAAGAAGGATGACTGCTTTGGTGTGCCTTTCAAGATGAAAAACAGCTGATGAGGGCCAGCCCAGCTGTGCTCAGGGCTCGGTGGATAGCCCGCTCTTGCTGTTCTTATCTTGCCTCTAGGAGAGTCTTCCTGGATTACACACATCCCAGAGGTAAAATCCTTTTCAAATGTTTCCTCGCACATTTTCGCTTCTTCAAAACCTTTATAAGGTTAACAAGTATTTCCTGAGCATAGTATGTACACAACACTGTTACATATGCTGGGAATATACCAATAAATGAAATGGTCCCTCCCTTGTAGAGCTCACATATGGCCTGTAGGGGGCAGCCAATAGACTAAGGGAGAAATAGACACCAGCACATTTTTAAAAGTTTGTGGAGGATGGAATGAAAAGATTAAGTTTATTTTGATGCAAACAATTTTTGAAATCCAAGCATGCTATACAAAATTGGTGCTTATATGAGAGGAGAGAGTAGCACAATGCCAGGAGAGTGGTATTAGGAAGGGGAATCTTTTTTTAAGATTTATTTTTATTATTTGAAAAGCAGAGTTACAGAGAGGGGGAGATGGATATATGGAGAGAAGTCTTCTATTTGCTGGTTCACTTCCCAGTAGCCGCAACAGCCGGTAACTGGCCAGGCTGAAACCAGGAACCTGCAACTCCATCCTGGTCTCACACATGAGTGGTCGAGGCCCAAGTACTTGGGCATCTTCTGCCTTCCCAGCTACATTAGCAGGAAGCCGAGTTGGAACAGCCAGGACTTGAACCGGCACTGATATGGGATGCTGTTGTCACTTAAGTGGCGGCTTAACCCGCTATACCACAACTCCCACCCCAAGCATCTTAAACTTTGCCCCAAGAGCCTACCTTCTCTCCTCCTGCTCAACTTGTTCCTCCTGCCATGCAGGGAGTTGTCCGTCCTCAACTGGAAAATGAGATTTTTCATTAACTTAGTGAAGAGAATATGGCAGTTTGACGTATGATGGCTGGAAAGGCAAACAGTGTCCTGTGTCAACCGAACAAAGCCGCAACTTCTGAAAGCGGTGTCTTCAGTACATATTAGTAATATGACCCCAAGATATGTTTGGGTTTCCATGGTGCAGTTCCCCTTATCAGCAAGCCAGCTACCATACTGCTTGTCTGCAGTGCTTCTGTTTGGTTTTTGCTTAGCCAGGCCTTCCTGAAAAAAAGACCGTATAAAAGGACCAGAGAGTGCCTGGCTGACATTGCTCCTTGAGGAAGCCTCCAGCTAAGCACTCTGGAAAGGACGGCGTCTTAGGTTCCGGTTCCGAATGGACTGGCTGCAGCTGTTCTTCCTCCACCCTGTTTCACTTTACCAAGGAGCTGCTTTTCCTGTTGCACTACTGTTTAATTATCTCTGCATCTGGGACTCATTTTCTGCTCGTGCCAGGTAGGTGAGAGGGTCACCTTTGCTCTTCCATCTAGGAGTACTCTAGCAGGCCAGGAAAGCAGGACAGACCTCAGGTGTGAAGACTGCATATTAATGACACCTGGTGGTGACTTACTGCCACTGATTACTGGTTGTGTGATACTGAATACGAATAAGAGAGGAAAACCGGCCAGGAAATTGACATCATGTCTGCATTGACTCAAAGTGTGACAGGTTCACATTAAGTGGGGAATGATTAAACTATGAGGACAATGGATGCTGAAATGGTACAGGAATCCTCTGATGTGTACATCCATGCAGATTCTAGATTCCTTGAGCATCCCAATTTCATGAAGTTTTATCATTTTCAGTAAAATTCTATCTAATATAATATTATATAATATATATTAATATATATAGTATATAATAAATTGTATCTATATATATCTAATATAATGTTATATGTTACATTTATAACTGTAAAGTTATTTGCTATTTATCTGAGAAGTAGAGAGAGGGAGCGCCTGTCTGCTGGTTCACGCTCCAAATTCCCATGACAGCTAGGACTGGGCCACGGCCAAACCTGGAATCCAGGTTTCCTGTGTGAGTGGCAGATACCCAATTACTTGAGCCATCACTACTGCCTCCTAGGGTATGCATTAACAGGAAGCTGGAGTCAGGAATACGAGGCAGATGTTGAATCCAGATACTCTGATATGCACAGGCATCTTTTTTATTTTAAGATTTATTTATTTATTTGAAACGTAGAGCTATAGTGACAGAGGGGGAGAAATCTTCTATCCACCGGCTCACTGCCAGATGGCTGCAACAGCCAGCACTGGGCCAGGATGAAGCCAGAAACCTCATTGGGGTCTCCCATGTGGGTAGCAGGGGACCAAACATTTGGGCCGTCCTCTGCTGCTTTTCCTAGGCCATTAGTAGGGAGCTGGATTGGAAGAGGGGCAACTGGGACTAGATCCATGCAGTCCTTGGTGTGAGCACAGATCCCACAGCAATGACCTTCACCAGGGAATCAGGGAGCCCTGAGCATGTGGAGACACCCACAGTGACTGCCCAAAGACCCAGCCACACCCTGTGCTCTCCCATGCAGCCACAGTGTTTTCACAGTCCCAGCACACAAGGCTCCCACAGTTATGGGCACCTGTTGTACCTGAGCAAGTGCAAACAGATGAGCACCACACTTTGATAAAATTTCGGGCTTATCCCCTAAAGAACTCTTGACCTTGAAGCTCAAAGCAACAGGGTTTGTAAAGGCAAAAAACACAAGGCGGGGAGGGGGAATACATGGTTTCTAGGATTGGGGCCGGTTTGGGGGAATACATGGCTACTAGGGTTAAGCTGACCTAAGGCCTATGTGAATCTAATATCAATTACAATCATGACAATAGACAAATTACAATCTTCACATTAATCCAGGTGCAGCCTGTTTCAAGCTTGAGCGATCATGCTAGCCAAGGGGAATGCAGTGTGCTGTTATTGTCTGATTTTTAGATAAAACTTTCAGACCAGAATCTCACGGTGGGGGGTGCTTTCTCAAGATGGAGTCTTGGGTGCTCTAAAATCGAGTCCCTACTATCAAAGTGTTACTTCACACCCAGCCCCCGTCAGTTCCCCCAGCCAGACTCAGGCATCTCCTGTCGGCTCGTTGCTGGGCACACAGACACAAGCTGCCACAGCAGTTACATATGTCCAAAATGGCACCTGCCTGCTTTGGGCTAGGTGCAGGACACCGGTGCTGGGTGGTTGGGAGAGAGAAATGTGCCTTACTTTTTTTTGCCTCTAGGCTGGGAGATATACCATCCTCCACAGGGCTCCAAGCCAGGCTCACAGCAGGCTCTTCCCGCAACTTTATTGCCATATCTTGGGCTGCTGTAGTCTGGTCTCATCTCATTCTCCAAAGCCGGCGCTGAGGCTCTTGGCTGCTGGGGTCCTGAGTTGTGCACGTTCACACCCTCCACGTAGATCCTAGTGTCTCTCTAATTTGAGTGGAGCTTCCTCTGCCATTTTCTCCCTAACTCTTCCCTGAGATTGCACTCTGTTCATGTGTTTTTAACTATCTTCCCCTAGACTATAGCAGTAAGCTCCCTCCCTATTCCGCCATCTTGGTGCCTCTCCCTGTAATTTTTTAATATCTAGGAACCTCAATGCATTAGAGACAGTCTCTACTTTTTAAAAAAAGTTTTGTGGAATATCCTTTTGTAAAGTGAAAATCCAAAGGGCCACCTCCTAAAGATTCACTTATTTTAGAAACCAGGATTTTTATATATTGAGGTTTCTGACAATTCCTTGGATTTCACAAAGAAAAATGATCCCAATCACAGACTGGCAAGACACGACCTGTATGAGAAGTAAAAGACTTCGAGGGCCAAAGAAACCCAAGGACAGAATGAAGAAAGGCAAAATAGAGGGCAGATGCTGCATGATGCGACCTGCAGGGATTATGCAGGTTTCCCGTGAGAGCATTAACAAATTTTAATAGCATTTTAAAAGCCAGAACACTAGTTCATAAGATCTAAAGTGCAGTGCAAGGATGATGGGTGTTACAAAGACTTTCTAAGTTAGGTTTCAAACACTTGCTGGAGGGAGATATTGAGGCCCCTCCCCCAAAGCTTCAGGGCAGTGTTACCCTGAAAAGGAAAGACATTCGTCTTCAGAGTTCTTCTAGATCCTCAACGCTAGATTCACATCACTTTGGTCAGACTACAGGACAGTAGGTCTTTGTGGTTTTTTGTTTTAAAGGTTAATTTAAAACAGGCAGTTATAGAGCGAAACAGAGAAAGAGAGAGAAAGATTTTCCATCTACTGGTTCACTCCCCAAATGGCTGCAACAGCCAGGGCTGAGCCAGACCAAAGCCAGGAGCCAGGAACTGCATCTGGGTCTCCCATGTGGGTGGCAGGGGCCCAAGTACTTGGGCCATCTTTCACTATTTCCCAGGCCCAGGCACATTCACATTAGCAGGGAGCTGAATGAGAACTGGAGCATCTGGGACTAGAACCTGTGCTTACGTGGGATGCTGGCATTGCAGGTATGGCTTAACCCACTGTGCCACAATGCCAACCCCAGCCGTAGGTTTTGGCGGTGCCCTATGAGCATGGCTACAGGACTGTTAACGGCAGGCATGGGTTGCCTTGAGAGGGAATCACTGGAATGGTGGACAGAAAAGAGAGGGCTTCCCAGGGTCACTGAGGCAGGAATCAAGCTTTGTCTCTTGAGGGAGCAAAACTGCTCCTGGCTTTTTCTCCCATGTTTAGTTGCATCAGAAGGCCATAAGGAAGGTTTCCATGGGACAATTACATGGCTTCCTCCCTCCATTGAGTTCCGGGGAAAGACTTCAGAAGCCATGTATCTGTCACAGGTTCTGAGTCAGTCTCACAGACTTGTCCCCTTTCTTTCAGGTATCTCTTCCTGCTGGCCGGAGGGGGCACCCTGGCCGTGGCTGCCATGGGGCTCTACGCCATGCTGGTCTTCACGCCCGCAGTCTGCGCCGTGTTTCTGGTCTCCTCACTCAGCCCACCGGAAGTTCACAGATGGACTTTCCTCTTCCAGATGGGCTGGCAGACCCTGTGCCACCTGGGGCTGCAGTACACCGAGCATTACCTGCAGGAGCCCCCTTCCATGAGGTAACACGACACGTTGGTTTGCTTGTCCTGAGCTGCCTGGGGATTTGCTGGCCGCATGGTTCTCGCGGAGAGAACCTAGGTGTTGAACTTGAGTGCTCATTTCTTCTCTGTGGGTTTGACCTTGAATAGAAGTCATTTAACCTTTCAGACTCAAATTCTTTCCCTGGGGAAAAAAAATCAGGGTGGTAGTGGTGGCGGTGGTGAGATTCTAGTTCTTGGCTCGCAAGGCCTGTTCTAAGTTGGAGATAGTGAAGGTCAAAGTGATTCAACAATGATTCATAGCTGCGTGTTGCCCGGGTAGCACGGCATCTGGCATTTCTCTTAGTTCACTGTGCTGAGTGGGAGGCTGAGCCAGGAGTGCCTGCAATGGCTAAGAAGCACTTTGCTGCCCTCAGCGCGGGCGGGGACACGCGGCCAGCAGGTGTGACTCTTTGGAGACCCTCGCTGCCGGCTCATGGTGGCGGCCCCAGCAGCTGCGGAAGTGGGGGTCTCTCTTGGTTCAGACTCAACTGTTTCCTCGGGAGGAAGGACGGTCACCCAATCTAGAAAAAGGAAGACAAGAGCTAACGACCACCTTGCCGGGCGTTTTTCACGAGTCAGTGCGGTCACCACGGTTGAGGGAAATGGCTTCCTCGTGATCCCGGCTCCTTCTGGTTAGCACACGCTGGCCCCGCTGTGTGGTCTCTCAGAGAGCGGAGGTCGGTCCCCTCTCGGAGTCCCGCCTGCCACTGCTTCACTTCTGCCACCGCTACCGCTCCCAGAATCCTTTTCTGCTTCCACCGAAGCCTTCTGGCTTGCTTCTCTGAGGAAAAGGCCAGAGGGCAGGTGGGCGGGGCCGTACTGAGTGACCCGGAAGTAGAGATCAGGACTTCCGTGGGGGCTGGGAGGGCCGTAGAACTGGCTCTGGCTGGACAGGCGGAAAGCCGAGCCGGACCTGAATGGGAAGGCGTGTCCGGCTGCCGTGGCTGCCTAACAACCGAGCAGAGATTTGTTTCCTCTCAGTTCCAGAGGTGAAAAGTTCAAGGTCACAGCGTCCAGAGGACAGGTTCTTCTAAGGCCTCTGTCCTTGGCCTGCAAATGGTCGTCTTCCTACTTGTGTGTGCAGGCGGCCTTCCCTCTGGTCCATGGCGTGTAATGGACCAGAGTCATTACATACACCAGTCATGGAGTCGAGGCTCACCCTGGAAGCCATTTTATCCACCTGCTTATAGATCCCGTCTCCCAAATAGGTCACACTCGCCAGTCCTGGGGTTAAGGCCCTTACCACGTGGATTTCGTGGGGGACCCCTCAGCCCAGAACTGAAGGTGACTGAGTAGGCGTGGATGGCACCTGGAGGCTGCCTGGCTCCCGCTTAAGGCAGGAAAGTGGCTCACTAACACCCTCCGTTCTCCATCAGACACACAGGGGGAAACAGCAGCAGTTGTATTCTCTCTTCAGGCCGACAGTCCCGATTGTAGAGTGTGCCCCTGTAGTTTTCATCCACTGTTCTCAATCTTTTTTTTTTTTTTTTAAGATTTATTTATTTATTTGAAAGTCAGAGTTACAGACAGAGAGAAGGAGAAGCGGAGAGAGAGAGAGGAGAGGTAGAGAGAGAGAGGTCTTTCTTCCTCTGGTTCACTCCCCAGATGGCTGCAACGGCCAGAGCTGCACCGATCTGAAGGCAGGAGCCAGGAGCTTCTTCCAGGTCTCCCAAGTGGGTGCAGGGGCCCAAGGACTTGGCCCATCTTCTACTGCTTTCCCAGGCCACAGCAGAGAGCTGGATGGGAAGTAGAACAACTAGAAGTTAAACTGGCACCTATATGGGATACCGGCACTGCAGGTGGTGGCTTGATCTGCTATGCCAAAGCGCTGCAGCCCCAATCAGTAAATCTATAAAGAGAGAAAGAGTGGGTGGCAGGGACCCAAGCACTTGGGACATCTTCAGCTGCTTTCCCAGGCACACTAGCATGGATTAGAAGCAGAGCAGCTGGGACTTGAACCTATACTGCCATATAGGATGCCGGTGTTGCAAGCAGTGGCCTAACCCACTGCTCCACAATGCTGGCCCCAATAATTTTTTTTAGAGTTTTATTTATTGGAAAGGGAGACAGAGAAGGAGAGAGAGAGACTTGCATCTGTTGGCTTATTCCTCAAATGTCTCCAGCAGCTTATCTGGCTGTGGCAAAAAGCTCTCCCTTCCACAGCAATCTTGTCAGCAGGAGCTTTGACAATGAAGTGGTACGTGTTCAGGAGATGGGTGAAGAACACACCTCAAACTGCCAGCCGCTCACCATGCACTCTGACCCATGCCTCAGGACCAATCCCAAACCAGGCAGAATCTTGCAGGATTTACAGCCTGCAGCTTCCTGTAATCTCATCACCCCTTAAGTTCTATTTCTTTGGCAAACTTCTCCCAAGTCGCTGGTCCTAATCTTTGCAAGCCATTCTTAGAAATATTATAATCCACATTTGCATCCATGACTCGTGATGAACGTCTTCACGTACCTGTTGATTCTGCCCAGGGCGGAGTGTGGCTCTGAATTCTTCCTGGAGTCTCAGCTGGGGCACTGCAGCCCAGGCACTTAACCTGAACTCTTCGGAGCTGCCTGTTTGCTGTGTGGTCGTGTGTGACAGACTGGAATGGAAAAGAGAATAAACAGGGAGTGTTTTCACACTAAGAAAAATCTCTTTCAGGTTCTGCATCGCTCTTTCGTCCCTCATGCTCTTGACCCAGAGGGTCACGTCCCTCTCACTGGACATTTGCGAGGGGAAAGTGGAGGCGGCCTCAGGAGGTGTCGGCAGCAGGCGCTCTCTGGCTGAGCATCTGGGGAAAGCACTGCCCTATCTCAGCTACTTGCTGTTTTTCCCTGCTCTCCTCGGAGGCCCTCTGTGTTCCTTCCAGAGATTCCAGGCTCGTGTTCAAAGGTCCAGCTCTTTGGGTCCCAAGCACTGTTTCTGGGTCCTGTCCTGGAGGGGGCTGCAGATCCTCGGACTGGAGAGCCTAAAGGTGGCCATGAGGGGCCTGGTGAGTACGGGGGCAGGACTGAGCCACTGCCGGCAACTCGAGTGCATCTACGTCATGTGGTCCACAGCCGGGCTCTTCAAACTCACTTACTACTCCCAGTGGATCCTGGATGAGTCCCTCCTCCATGCTGCAGGCTTTGGGACTGGGTTTGGCCAGAGCCCTGGTGAGGATGGATATGTCCCGGATGCGGACATCTGGACGCTCGAAACAACCCACAGGATAGCCCTGTTCACAAGGAAATGGAACCACAGCACAGCTCAGTGGCTCCGGCGGCTCATCTTCCAGCGCCGCAGGGTCTGGCCACTGTTCCAGACCTTTGCCTTCTCTGCCTGGTGGCACGGACTCCATCCCGGACAGGTGTTCGGTTTCCTTTGCTGGGCTGTGATGGTGGAAGCGGACTACCTGATTCACACCTTTGCCAATGTGTTTATCAGGTCCTGGCCCCTGAGGCTCCTCTATAGAACCATCACCTGGGTCCACACTCAGCTCATCATAGCCTACATAATGGTGGCCGTGGAGGTCAGGAGCCTCTCCTCACTCTGGATGCTGGGTAATTCATACAGCAGTGTCTTTCCTGCAGTGTACTGTACTTTGCTTTTTCTATTAGCAAAGAGAAAGCACAAATTTAACTTCTTAAAAAAAATATTTACTTGAAAGGTAGGGTTAGTAAGAGAGAGGAAAAAAGAGAGAGAGAGAGAGAGAGAGAGAGAGAGAAAGAGAGAGAGAGAGATTTCCCATCCACTGGTTCATTTCCTAGACGGCCGCAACAGCTAGGGGTTGGCAAGGCAGAAGCCAGGAGCATGGAAATCCTTTTAGGTCTCCCATATGAGTGCAGGAGCTCAAGCACTTGGGTCATCTGCTGCTGCTTTCTTGGGTGCGTTAACAGGGAGCTGGATCAGAAGTGGAGCAGCCAGGACTCAAACCGGTGCCCATATGGGATGCCGATGTCGAAGGCAGCTGCCCAACCCATTGTGCCACAATGCCAGTCCCCAAATTTACCTGACTTATTTCCCTGCTTTCTCTTATGCATCTGTGAGAGAGATTAGAAAGTACCAGATGACACACGGATGGTGTGCATGTTTGAACATTTCCATAATGTAAGGATGTTTTAGGAATTGGATGGATACACCTGATGGCCTGCCTTAGAAATTGCCTTAGAAATTGGTGTGGCTACTTTAAGCAGCAATCCCTGTGATTGTCACCAGTGCATATAAAGACACTTCCTACCGTCACTACATACAAGCTCCTATTGTTGGTACTGAGAATACAAAACAGAAAAAGACATGGCTTCTTGCTTCAGGGCCTCCTTTTCTACATGTGGAGGCAAAGTTTTAAGGAAAGCGATGCAGAGAGCACAAGGTACTGGGAACAAGAGAGCAAATGGGACATGCATGGACTCCCAGAAACCAAGCATCCAGTTGGCCCCCTTGATCCTGGAACGTGAACTTGAGTGACACAAAACCAAACCTCAGTCATGCTATTATATTGGTATGTTACATGAACTTGAGACCAGCTTATAAGTTTGAACCCATCCTTTGATTTCAGAAATTTGAAATATCTGGTCAAAATGTGGAAATTTGAAACATTTGGTCTAAAAATGGGAAGGCTGATATTATTCTTGGAAGTGTGTTGCTGGAGTGCGGATCCGCCTAAGGCTTGATAATTACTTACGTACTCGTTACGTGCAAAACCGTCTCATGCGAATGTTACACGGAGACCGAGAACGGGAAAGAGATGATCTTTTACTAAGACTTGGACAGTGGGTCTGATTCCTTTTTCTTGGCATATGCTAAATAACTCCCTCAGTTTCTTCCTTGGTCTGGATTTAAAATGGTAACAGCAACAGAAAGATACCAGGACCTACAAGTTACACTGACACAACGTCATATAACCAGCACCCTCACCGCCTTGCCTCAGCTGTGGGCCACCTCTACTAAAATATAATTACTGTCTTTCTTTAAATCAACTTACTTTTAAGAACTTATCTTCTGGGGTGGTCAGTGGTGTGGTACAGCAGGTTAAGCAACTGCTTGGCAGGCCCACATCCCATATGAAAGTGTGGGTTCGAGTCCTGGCTACTCCACTTCCAATCCAGCTCCCTGCTAATACACCTGGGAAGCGGCAGATGATGGGCCCGGTACTTGAGTTTCTGCCACCCATGCAGGAGACTTAGATGGAGTTCTGGGCTCCTGGCTTTGGTCTAGCCAAGCCCTGGCTGTTGTGACCATTTGGGGATTTAACCAGCAGATGAAAGATCTTTCTCTATCATTCTGCCTTTTAAAAAAATAATTTTTTTAAAGTGTGAATGTAAAACAATGATACTTGTTTTAAAAAGTAAAAGTAAGTAAAACCTTCCTTCCAAGCAACAACACTGATGAAATTGTATTTGGTGTACTAATTATATTTTTTGTGCTACTCACTAAAAGAAACACATGCTTGTTCAAAAGAAAAAAGTGTTTATTTGTGTACTGCTTACAACTGTCTTCTTATTAGGGTGATACCTATTCCATCATAAAAGTATTATACAACTATCTAAGCCTCCAAAACCAACATTTTTCATTCCTTTTCAACACATTCAATGGCAAAAAAGCCTTTAATGTTTAAATCCTGACAAAAACAATAGATGACTTGGAAAGTTACAGGTCAGTATCACCACTTAGTATTAAGGCAAACAACCAGCAAGCGCAATCTTGGCACACAGAACCCACCCCTGATGCTGAGGGCCTTGGGAGCAGCAATGGTGGGAATCTGTCATGGTCTCAGCCAGGGTGGGTCTGCATTTCCTCTCACGTAAACAATAGCTCAGGGCAGGCCCAGGGTTCACAGAGCTGAGAACTTGAATGGGGAAAAACAATGCCTCACCCAAGAGACGGTAAGGGACCCTGAGACCATTAGAAACAGGTCACTGAAATGAGTCTTTACACTAACCAGAGAGACGAGTGGGACTGGGGTGGGGTGGTATTATAGTTGGGAGGAAATTTAGGCTAATTTTATTTTTATCTGATACATAAGATTGCACACACTGTGAGCACTATGTGGTGTTTCAGTGTATGCATACATGGTAATCACCAGGATAGATGCATGAGGGTACTTCACAAAGTCCATGGAAATGCATATTGGGAAAATTATGTGTGAATTTCAAAATTATTTTGCACCAAAATAAACTTATTTTTAATTGCATTTTTCTATGAACTTTTCTTTTTAAAAAGATGTATTTGAAAGAGTTACAGAGAGAAGGAGGGTCACAGAGAGAGAGAGAGAGATCTTCTATCTGCTGACTCACTCCCCAGATGGCTGTAGTGGCTGGGCTAGGGCTGAAGCCAGGAGCCAGGAGCTTCCTCCAGGTCTCCCACGTGGGTGCAGGGGCCGAAGCACTTGGACCATCTTCAACTACTTTTCCCAGGTCATTAGCAGAGAGCTGGATCGCAAGTGGAACAGCCGGGACACAAACTGGTGCCCGTGTGGGATGCTGTTGCAGTTGGTGGCTTTCTCTACTATGCCACAACGCTGGCCCCTCTATAAACTTTTTGAAGTACTCTCATAGCTCTCACGTCAGACATTGGTCATTTCTTTATGGTGAAAGCATTAAAATTCTTCTAGATTTTTTTTTAAACTAGAAAAACACATAATGTATTATTGTTATTTATAGTTCCCCTACTGTGCAGTGGAACACCAGAATTTCTCCTGTGACTCAGTACCTGTCACCTTTCTAACTCTCCTTCTTTCTCCATCCTCTGGTACTCACAATTCTACTCTATACTTCTGTGAGATCAAGTTTTAGATTCTACATATGAGTGAGATCATGCAGTCTTGTCTGTGCCCAGCTTGGGAGGAACAAAGTAATAATCATTGCAGCATTATTTATTGTAGTAAACAAGTTCACCATATAGGACAATGGGTAAGCAGTTTGTAACTATCACAGAGCTATTAATAATAAGTGCTTCTTGGGGCCGGTGCTGTGGTGCAGTGGGTTAATGCCCTGGCCTGAAATGCTGGCATCCCATATGGATGCCGGTTCGAGTCCCGGCTGCTCCTCTTCAAATCCAGCTCTCTGCTATGGCCTGGGAAAGCAGTGGAAGATGGCCCAAGTCCTTGGGGCCCTGTACCCGTGTGGGAGACCCGGATAAAGCTCCTGGCTACTGGCTTTGGATCAGTGCAGCTCCGGCTGTTGTGGCCAATTGGGGAGTAAACCAGCAGATGGATGACCTCTCTCTGCCTCTCATCTCTCTGTGTAAATCTGACTTTCAAATAAATAAATAAATAAATCTTTAAAATAAATAAGTAAATAAATAAGTGTGTCTAGTAGGGGCCTTTCTGGAGAGCTATCCACATGGATGAGTTCAGTTTATGAAAATCCTTTGAGAGACCAGTGCTGTGGTGCAGTGGGTTAAGCCACCACTTGCGACACTGACATCCCAAATTGGACAGAATGCCAGTTCAAGTCCTGGCTGCTCCACTCCCATCTGGCTTCCTGCTAATGTGCCTAGGAAAGCAGCAGAGGGTGGCCCAAGAACTTGGGGCCTTGCTGCCATGGAGACCAGGTTGTAGTTCTTGGCTTTCATCTGGCCCAGCCCTAGCCATTGAGACCATTTGGGAGGTGAACCAAGAAATAGAAGGTCTCTTTCCCTCTCTCTCTTTCTTTTTATTCCTCTGTCACTTTGGGAAGTTAATCATAAACAATAAATTCTTTTGAAGATTTTTTCCTTTATTTTTGTTAACATTTTAAACAATCTGTATGTCATGACAACTACTTAAGGGGAAGATGGATTTCTTTCTACGTGTAAGTGATCCTGTGATGTTAGGCTCAAGCAGAGCTAGTAAGGCTTTTCTAGTGTCACATTGGCTGTAACAGATCAGGTAACCTTTGTTGTAAGGTGTATGTAACCCCTTGTCTGCACTGTTTAGCTATCCAGCCGGATCCTTAGTAGACCCGATCTTTTTGTCCCTGTCTTGTTCGAGCTATACTTTGGTGTTTCAAAGACAAACACTTGTTAAAATGGCTTGAGTTTCATCTCATGCGATGTGCTTTTAAACTTTGTGCTGTACTTATGGATCCTGCATGTACTCATCCTCTAGAAATAGGTTAACCTGAAAAAACTTACTGGGAGGAACTCCCAAGAGACTTGTTTTCCAAAGGAACGTATCGTTAAGGGGAACAAAATCTACTTAGGTGTGTTGTAAAGCTGTTAAATGTTAGTCACTGAGGTTTGTGGATGGAAATGTAGTGCCCAAGTGATTTTGTTTTAAAAGGTTGTCACAAATACAGATGAGTTGGAAAAAAAATTCTTTGTGGTGTATTTAAGATGTGTGCAAGTTTCTGTATCAATGATACACTGCAATTCTTTTTTTTTAGTGAGAACTTTCTTTTATTGAATTTATGTATTTGAAAGGCAGAGTTACAGAGAGAGAGAGAGAGAATCTTCTATCTGCTGGTTCACTCCCTGGATGGCAGGCACAACCAGGCTGGGCCAGGCCAGAGTCAGGAGCCAGAAGCTTCATCCAGGTCTCCCACGTGGGTGCAGGGGCCCAAGCACTTGGGCCATCCTCCAGTGCTTTCCCAGGCCACAGCAGAGAGCTGGATCAGAAGTGGAGCAGCCGGGACTTGAACCAGTGCCCATATGGGATGCCGATGCCTCAGGAGGCAGTGTCTGTTTGGTTTTTCTTTTACATGATTGTTTATAGCAGCATTTTCACAATGACCAAAAGGTGGAAACAATATAAATGTCTATCAACTGATAAGTGGGTAAAAAAATGTGGCAGACCCACACAAAGGAATTCACTCAGTCATAGGGAGGAATGGACAAGTGGCACATGCTGCAACATAACACGGACGAACCCTCATACCGTTGTGCTCAGTGAAAGAAGCCCACTCAAAACCTCTACAGGATATGATCCCACTCCTGTGAAATATCCAGTTTTGGATTAGAAATGTATTTGTGGCACCAGCGTTGTGGTGCCACTGTGACACCAACAGTTCATTTGATTGCTGGTTCAGGTCCTGGCTGCTCCACTTCTCCTTTTTATTTTTATTTATTTTTTTACTCCAGAAACATTTTCTTTAAGGAATACAAACTTCATACACTTCATGAATACAACTTGAGGAACATAGTGATTCTTCCCTCCATACCCGCCCTCCTACCCTTCTT